AGGGTGAGAAAGAACCTAAGCAGAGAGAGGGTGAGAAAGAACCTAAGCAGAGAGAGGGTGAGAGAGAACCTAAGCAGAGAGAGGGTGAGAGAGAACCTAAGCAGAGAGAGGGTGAGAGAGAAAGTTAGCAGAGAGAGGGTGAGAGAGAAAGCTAGCAGAGAGAGGGTGAGAGAGAAAGCAAGCAGAGAGAGGGAGGGTGAGAAACCAAGCAGAGAGAGGGAAAGAGAGAAACCAAGCAGAGAGAGGGAGAGAGAGAAACCGAGAAGGGAGCAAAGAAAGAGAGAGAAACCGAGAAGGGAGCAAAGAAAGAGAGAGGAACCAAGAAGGGAGCAAAGATGGAGAGAGAGAGAGGCGGAGAGAAACTAAGAAGAGAGCAGATAGAGATAGAGAGAGACGCCAAAAAGGGAGCAGAGAGAGAGAGAGAAACACAAAAGGGAGCAGAAAAAGAGAGAGAGAGAGGGGAAGAGAAACCAAGAATGGAGCAGAGAGAGAGAGAAACCAAGAAGGGGCCAGAGAGAGAGAGAGAGAGAGAAACCAAGAAGGGAGCAGAGAGAGAGAGAAACCAAGAAGGGAAGAGAGAGAGAGAGAGAGAGAGAGAGAGAGAGAGAGAGAGAAACCAAGAAGGGAGCAGAGAGAGAGAAACCAAGAAGGGAGCAGAGAGAGAGAGAGAAACCAAGAAGGGAGCAGAGAGAGAAACCAAGAAGGGAGCAGAGAGAGAGAGAAACCAAGAAGGGAGCTGAGAGAGAGAGAGAAACCAAGAAGGGAGCTGAGAGAGAGAGAGAGAAACCAAGAAGGGAGCAGAGAGAGAGAGAGAGAGAGAAACCAAGAAGGGAGCAGAGAGAGAGAGAGAAAACCAAGAAGGGAGCAGAGAGAGAGAGAGAGAAACCAAGAAGGGAGCAGAGAGAGAGAGAGAGAGAGAGAAACCAAGAAGGGAGCAGAGAGAGAGAGAGAGAAACCAAGAAGGGAGCAGAGAGAGAGAGAGAGAAACCAAGAAGGGAGCTGAGAGAGAGAAAGAAACCAAGAAGGGAGCAGAGAGAGAGAGAGTGAAAGCAAGCAGAGAGAGGGTGAGAGAGAACCTAAGCAGAGAGAGGGTGAGAGAGAACCTAAGCAGAGAGAGGGTGAGAGAGAAAGCAAGCAGAGAGAGGGTGAGAGAGAAAGCAAGCAGAGAGGGGGTGAGAGAGAAAGCAAGCAGAGAGAGGGAGAGAGAGAAACCAAGCAGAGAGAGGGGGAGAGAAAAACCAAGCAGAGAGAGGGAGAGAGAGAAACCACGCAGTCAGAGAGAATCCAAGAAGGTGTATAGAGAGAGGAATGGCACCTAGAAGGTGCAACTCTGGGTGAATTAGGAGAAAGAAAGACAAGAAAGAATCGAAAATGAAATTAAACCTATTAAGGATTTCACCAGATCGCACATAGAGGCACGCAGTCAAGACAGAAATGGATTAAACAGTGCAAGACTAATTTCGCAGCTCTGTGAAATTACATTGAATTCATATGATATTTGTGAGAGATAGATACTTGAGATTGAAAAAAGCGGTCTTATTTTTTTAATCGTTAAAACACATGTGACTTTAACTTGGAGGACGCGTGAGAATATTCATAAATAGCTTGTGAAGATGGAAAAAAAAGATTAAATACCGGTGTCTCGCAGAAACGAGGTTTAAAAGTACAATTCCATCCACGCACATTTATTCATGAGACTAAACACAGCTGCACACAGACATTATTGAAGAATGCATTGAATGTGTTCGTGGTTACTGATGTGTGATTGCAATATAAATATCATTAAAAAAAAAAAGAAGGAAAAAAATCTTCCAACGTTGGCTAAAAATTATACAGAAGGGCGTGTATGGGATTCTATCGGTGGAGTCGTGATTAAGCGCCCCGTTGTAGTGTAATCGGGAACACGCTGGCCTCAGAGATCATTAGAACTAGGTGGTGAGTTCGATTCTCATAAAACCCTCCCCCAACCGTAACTTGTGATCTGGTGGCTAATCTGTAAGCCACATTTGGAAAATTATCTCAGATTCATTGCAGTATTATTTGTGAGTAAAATATACACATTTATTTAAGCACAGACAAATACACACTGTATCTCTATATTTCTGAGATGAGGTATTATGTACACTATTTACATTATTCGGACTATTGTCCCCATCTTTGTCGCCATATTTATTACAACGTTTCGGCCGTTGTACGCTCCGGCCTTATTCAGGTGGTTGGAATGTTGAACTGAACCGTCAAGGACACATGGCACAATGGATAAAGGCGTTGGTTAGATCCAGTGACAGGGCCCAATGAGTGTGAGTTCAATACCCGGCTAAGGCAGTGGAGAACTCCGAGAGGGGAATTAAGAGGAGATAGCTGATAACTGACATCCATTAAACATGGCACATGGAACTAGAAAAGTCTACCCCAGTGAGCAAAATAAAGGGTTCAGTTCGATATTCCAACCACCTGAAGAAGGTCGGAGCGTACAACGGCCGAAACGTTATAATAAATATGGCGACAAAGATGAGGACAATAGTCCGAATAATGTAAATAGTGTACAAATACACACATTTTCTGATTACTTACGTTGATCTATATTCCACACCCTATTTCACGCATGCATTCAAACAAGATCGTCTTTAGGTCCCTCTGCTTTCCTCTGACGCTTTTTAGTTCGATATGTCCTGTGAGTGTCTTTTTCTCCAAGCCCTCCTCCATCATGTGTCCAAGAAATTTAAGCTGTCTTCTGATTTTGAGAATAAGTTCCATTTTCCTTAAGGCGTCTTCGTTGCTTAAGCGCTGCGTTTATGGTATTCTCAGTATCCTCCTGTAGAGCCACATTTCCGTTGCTTCTAGTTTTCATTCATCTGTGGGCAAATTGTCCAGCATTCACTGTCATATATATATATATATATATATAAGAATTGATATCACATCGCAGTTCAGCATGGTTCGTTTGCTTCTTTGTAACGAAATTTCCCTGGGTTTTTAGTACAATGCTTAGCTTTTAAAAGGAATCTTCCGCTATTCCAATGTCTCGCAACAGAGGAAGAAAACTAGTCTGGCATAACGTGAGATGGGGGAGCATCCAGTAAGAATCTATCTCACTTTAGTAGCTCTAGTGATTTTCCAAGCATAGCTTAGATGTGGCACAAGGCCGAAATTAAGGGGGAACCCAGTGAGAATCGAACTCACTACTCAGTCGTAATTGTTCTAGCGAGACAACCTTGCTAACCATTACACCACCTCGAGGCGCCCTACTTTAGTAACTATAAGCTGCAACAGTTATCTTACTAACCAGGTATCCGACTGAGTTTCGGAGACGAGGTGCGAAATAAAATGTGACGAGAATTCGAAATGAGAAACGTCTTCTTGAAGAACGATGATTAAAAACTAAGTTTTAATTACGATACTTATTTCAAATCATTTTTTTGCATAATTCTTTGCAGCTGCCAATCAATGTTGATTGATTCATTTTTACGATTTGTCAACCTTTTTGTGAGTTATTTCAAGTCGAAACCTATTTCGAATAACCAGTAAGGAAAACTCGAGAAATTCTGGATAGATTGACAGATAAATAGATTGATAAACAAGTCCCAATTCTCCAAAACTTTGGATAGCACCGTGGGTATTATTTATCTATAACAAACGTCTCAAACTCGATTAATTATCAAAACTTTGAGTTCTTCCAGCTGCTGTGCCTCACAAGAAATATGTGTTCGGACCTATATGTGTTTTTGTTAATTTTTATTTTATTTTAAGGGTATTTCGTTGATAGGTTTGGCTGGAATTTGGAAGGTTTGGTTTGTTTCGTCTTACGGCATATCAACACCTCAATGAGTTGTTTAATGCTGACAAGATTTTTTAGGATAGGTTCGTATAAATATATGTATTCCTTGTAATAAATCAGTTTGCAGATCAAGATTCATTGAAGTATTTTTGCAAAGAGGGTTTTTGTCGAGATTCAGATATAGTGCTTGTAATATTTTCTTTTAAATGTATTGCTGGTAATGGTAACTTTTCTTTTTCAAAACATTTTTGCTGGTAATAATTTTTCCCAAAAATATATTTCTGGTATTAAACCTATTTTTACACTTCTTCAGTGTTTTGACCACAGTTTAGGGGGTTTACTGTTTGCCCATAGCTGGGACCCCACCAGCTGTTTCCAACCCGGGTTAGAGTAGACCTGGGAACAACAGTAATTAAGAGGTGGTTCCACGCTCATCAAAACCTCCAGATCAGAGGCCTTGCTGCCGGATGTAGTTTATCATCATACACAGTACTCGAATTTGGAAGGTGAAATTTATGTTCGTCTTATTGTTTTTGATGTGTTTTGAACGGTTTTAGCAGGGTTAGGGTTACAGAGACGGGTGTACAAATTTATCATGCAGTGTGTATATGAGTGAGTGAGTGAGATATAGAGAGAGAAAGAGGGAAAGAATGAGAGAGCTGAGAAAAAGAGAGAGGCAGGAGAAAAAGAAAGCGAAGTGATAGGGGAGAGAGAGAGAGAGAATATGGTAATATATATGTATACATGTATAAATATATATATATACACACACATATATATATATATATATATATATACACACACACATATACACACACACACACATACATACATACACATATATACATACACAAACATATATATACACACACACATATGTATGTACGGGCACACCCAAGCATAAGTAAATATTAAATAAGAATGATGCCAATATATTTACTGATTTGAGAATGAATTATGAATATAAATTATTTGATTCCATTATCACATTCACTGAATTTTCACTTGCTTTTCCGCATGAACACACATAGCAGACACGAGTTTAAATGCCGAATACATCTCTATTGATATTTACAAGAAATAGCTATGTCCATAAACGGGCTGCTATATAACGAATTATGTTTGCTAACTTATAAGCGTTTCCACATTGACTCTTCAAGACACTAAATGGTACTTTGCACAGTGGATGGAATTCCACGAAATTCACAGTAGAGACAGTCATAAGATTAGTAAAATAAAGTGTTGTTATCTTTATTCGGTGCTGCTATAGCGTGAGATCTACCTTAATATGTCGTGATCCTCCCCTCACGTGGCCATCAGGTCAGGTGAAATCTAACATGGATATTTATATCCGTCTCACATTTTCTTAGCACGTGAAACGGGAGGTAGACCTCACGCTATAGTAGCACTTTTATTCTTTCTACACTCTACTTTGATACTGAGCACTATAATGGGGAAAGAACACCTGCTATAACTTGAAATTGTTAATCGGAGAGCCAAACCCCAATTCCAGTTTGTGTTCGTTATATTCACTTACGCGCAATTACCCTTAGAAAAGGCATGAGTCCACATCTTCTCCCTCCAGCGAGGGGTAATTACTAGGACATGTAGAAGCAAAAATCATTTTTATCTCGAAAAATTCTTATTTTTTGGAAAATATTTTCTGGCTTTAAATAAGCTACAAATGTTTGATAAGCCGTAAAGAAATGTTTGAAGCAATCATTCAGCCGTGTTTAAAAAACGACAACAATTAATATTTTTTTTAATGAAATCATTTCATTTAGTTTATATCCCCACTGTTTATATCAAATACCTTTAAAATCGACAGACATGGGTTAATTACTTTAATTTTTTAAATCATTATCGAAAAAAAATATTAAAGTTCTGCAAACAAAATTTTTTCTTTTAAATAACCTGGTTTGTTAAGACCGACATTCTGAATGTAATTTCATAATCAGTCAGTTATGTGACATGCGTGATACATGTCATACAACTGACGGCTATAGAACCCGCCATTTCTTTCTGCAGTAACCAGTTGCCATCAAAGGCTATAGAACCCGCTCTGTCTTGTTTACCCATAGAGAAGAAGAGGAGGATTCATACATTTCCCTAGAGTATGAGCACGTAAGTGAATGTAATGGATTCGAGTGGAATTCGAACTCGGTTCTCCGATTCCTCAATTCGATCTGCTATCCATTACTGCACCTGCATTTAAAAAAAAAATTATACAGATGTTCTATGTGGTGAATAATATGGTGAAACGAAAAAATGTACAAGACAAATTTTGGAATAATTAGTTCTCCGATCTAAGTTTCTGTAAGTTGTCTTTCAGGCTTAAAAGCTAAACCTATTTTTTTTCTTGCCAGTTTAATCTAAATGATGCGGTAAGATCGATAAATAGTATGTCAATATATGGCCCTGTAGAGCTGACAGAAATGCGATGTAGTAGTCTGAAGATGCAGAGTAGCGAAAAAAGCCAGCAGGAAATAAATTTATGTAGGGCAGAAGTTCCAGTTCAGTGAAAGAGAAAAGAGGAGAGAAGGGGGAAAAAATCGATATTTATGTCGATAAATTGTTTAAATAACAATGGTCAGTTTACAGATATAAGTAATAAATAAATAACACGTGAAACAAAGTAGAAGGAGAGAGAAGCAATAGAAGAGGAAAAGGAAATCTTACACGGGAAAGCAAATATGGCTAGGATGTCAGATAGCTTGAGAAACCAGTTTGAGATGATCCCGAAAGAGACACGAGGGTTTGGGAGAAAGCAAACACGAACAAATGACGTCCTCGATTCGACAGGAAAAAAAAAGGGTAGTACAAAAGATAGATATGAAGAGAATTGGCAACGGAAACAGATATACAAGCAAAATAATACATACATACATACATACATATATATATACTACACTCGACTCTCCCGTCGAATTCGACGTATGAGGGTCAAGGAGATAAGTTCCTAGGAAACCGACTGCCCGACAACAGCACATGAGATTTGATTATAGTGGTGAAGGCCTCGTGCAGGACCATCCATACTTTTTGAAGGTACGAATACAGAGACCTGGTGCACTACGTGCCACAAGGTTCCCAAACGAACCTCCGCAGGTTTTGAATTCAGAGTTGTCCTTCTCCTAGACAGTTGCCATCCAAGTCTATAGAACCCAGTCTGTCCTGCTATTTACCCATAGCTGTAGGGAGAAGAGGATTCACACCTTTTCCAAGGGTATTAGCATGTAATGGATTCGACTGGAATTCGAACTCGGCTTTCCGATTCCTCAATCCAAGCCGTTATCCATTACTCCACCGCACCTCCCCCTTATATATATATATATATATATATATATGGGGGTATGTAGAAAAATAGGAAAGAACACGTTAGGTAAATAATCCAGGGTTCTTTGGTATTTTTGTTTTTATTTAAAAAAAAAAAAACAGTGCTGCATACAGAAGTAGAGCTTAGATTATGATCATTTTTTTAAAAATATGATTCCTTCGCTACATAAGAGTTCATTTGTTTCAAAAACGAGAGCCGAAACCATCAATATAATTATTAAAATTAAATTGAATTAAAGTAACAAACTCTGTTTCGCCCTCAAGCGAAAATTTAGGAATAACCAATTTTGAAGTTTACGTATCGTTATAAGCATGTTCATTCGTTACTATGGAAACGGCCGTGGCGACCATTTTTGATAAGGGGCCTAAGAGTTAATTTTTATCCACATATCAGTCACTTTCAGGAAGAGGTCAAGCTGAGGTTGGATGGGGGTGTCTATTTCAAAGCGAATGATGTCTTTCTTGTACGCGCATCGTCTGTTCATTCACAGAGAAAGATAGATTTTGGCACTATAGTATTTTGGAACATTATATATATATATATATATATATATATATATATATATATATATAGATAGATAGATAGATAGATAGAGATATAAAATATTGTGTGTATGAATACGTGATTCAACTCGGCTTCATTTTGTCCCTCTACAGATACACTATTTACAAGTATATATACAGGGTGCGATGAGTAAATTGTCGTCAGTTATACTTTTAATTTCCAGTATGCGCTTCATTCGCTTTATTCGTTTTTAATTTGTCGACAACACAGTAGTGTCAGTTGGGCACCATGACGCAATTCACTCTGCTAGAAATTTAGGAACAGCATTCTGTAATGCTTGTATTCGCGCCGGAAGTTCCAATACGACATTTCACCGTCCTTGGCAAAAACGATAAACCACGATTGTGTCAAGGCCTTTGATCAGGAGGTTTTGAGAAGCATGGAACCACTTCTTAATTGCTGGTGTTCCCAGGTCCACCTTGACCCGGGCTGTTAGCCCTTGTTAGGGTCACAAATATAAGCAAATGAAAGTGGAGTGAAAACACTATGAAAGTGTAAAAATAGGTTTTAATACAGCAATAGATTTTTTGAGGAAAAAATTATTACCAGCAATACATTTAAGAAAAAAATATTACCAGCTATACATTTAAAAAAAAACTATATTGCTAGCAATAGATTTTTGGTAAAGATGGCCAGCAATAAAAATTGTCGGCATTAAATAACCCACTGAGGTTGATATCCTGTAAAACAAAATATATCAAATCAATCGAACATTTCTGTGTGTTTAGTTGTCAATCTGAAGACAATGAAAAGATTCGGAAAGAGTTAGATGAGTTTCAAGGTGATTACGAAAGTACAGCAACTCGGAAAACTCTCACTGATCGTTCTGATAAGAAAAGAACACCCGATTTTGTTGGTGAGGGACGCAGACTCGACACGGAGGCTTACATCAAGTGCCTTGAGGAGGTAGTGCTGCCCTAGGTCAAAAGATCCGATAATCTGGTAACAGGTCTCTGAAGCAGTAGAACCCAGTTGTGACTGTCAGACAATTTTGCGACCACATCACTTCTCTTATCTGGCCACATCACTCCCCAGCGTGCAAACCTCTTGATTATTATGTGTGAGTCGCAATTAAGCGAGAGACCAACAAAACTCTTTGTAGCAACACAGATGAACTGAAAGCAAGGATTATGGCAGCATTCACCAACCTAAAAAAGGAAGAGACTGTCCAGAAGAGATGCAGAAGATTCCGAAGTCGTTTGGTAGCCGTGGTTGAAGCCAATAGCGATTCTATTGAATAAATTTAATCTTTAGTATTTCAACATATTTTTGTGTAATTTTGGTAAATATATCTGTTAAAATAAGATGTCAGTGTTATTTTCGTTTTTGCCTAATTTAGACGACAATTGCACCCTGTGTTTTTATATATATATATATATATATAATTTTGAACAATAAAAAAATAAAAAATTAAAATCTTTAGACACACTGGGTTGTAGATTAATATTCTTTCGTTTTTTTTTATTATTATTCCATTTAGATTCCTCGACTAGTTTCGAATGAAATGGCCATCATCGGGAGGAGAAATATTTCTGCTTGCTGGTAGCACTAAACTACAGAAATGAATGTCTTGATGGAGAAAATGAACTTTTGTCTGTACTTTTCATTTGTTTTTTTTTTTTTTTTTTAATCTTTTTAACAGGAATCTTTTAACATTCCTTTTGTTGGTCAAACAGTCTCTTTTAATTTGTTATTTGAGATAAGAGCTGGATAGATACATATTATTCTGAATTCTCTGGTCAGTATATATATATATATATATATATATATATATAGATTGAAAGAGGTGTAAAGAAATAAGATAAGGACAAGCACGGGTTTAGCCGGGTAATTGATGGAAAGATACCCAAGTCTCTGACTACTATTTAAGGCGCTTAATATTCACTTGTGACGTTAGAGCAAGGCAAGGTGGCTGGCCTTTCACAAGATCAGGCTCATCTGACAGGCCATCATAACCGTCCAAGGTGTTTCATCATCTCAAAAGTCGTCATACGTGTAAAAGAAGTCCCCGTAGGATTGAGTGTTTACAATAATTCCTACTGCTATTATTTCGAATAAAATAATTGGGCTGTTATTCCTCGGTCGAATGACATTTTTATTGAAAATCTATTGCCTTGGGAAAGGCTTGAGTGAGTGGGTGAAATGAAAAAGTAAATGGCAGTCATGAGCCTTGGTGGGGTGAATTTACGACCGTATAGAAGAAGGCATCAAGAATCTGCGACATTACCTTTTGCAAAAAATCCTAACTATACACAGATAATAAAGAAAAAAGAAGCTGTAAAAAAATCAAGATTGCTGATGCTTTGAAGTGACGTGCAATATGA